TTTTTTTTTTTTTTGGTAATGGGGATCAAACTCGGGACCTTGCGCTTGCAAGGCAGGTGCCATAACCACTGAGCCAAATCCCTGGCCCGAGGATGTATTTTCGAAGCCTCAGTTTCCTCATTGGTGAAGCAGAGATGTTCTCACCTCTTAGACACAATTTCAGTCAAGCATAGATGAGGTGACACAGGGCTTTGGGCACATTCCTGGCACAGAGCCTGGCCAGGAAGCTACTTTTATGGTCACTCAGTCTGATCTGGACTCTAGGGAGTAGCTGCACAGCACCCAGCAATGCTCCCTGAAGTGCACCATGGTTTCTGTGTGGAAGCTAGGGACACAGAAAGCGCATTGGCTGCTTTTTTCAATGTCCTCTTCCCCCAGGTGTGAGCAGGAACCTATATACCTCGTTTTCCACATGAACATGGGCTTACATACATACACGAATGGTGTGATGCATCAGTCAAGGGTAGGCAAGATGTCAAGCACAGTGACAGTGATAGCAACTGCAGGAGAAGAAAGGGAAGTGTTTTTTTGTTTTTCCCAGCCACTCTAGTGTTGGGGGATACAAGAGACAGGAGAGGCCGCCGAGAAAAGAAGGATTTAGGTGAACACTGGCTCAACGGACTAATATCCAAAGGAAGATCGGAGAACTAAGGAAAGGTCCTAGTGTTTATACATTTGGTTGGGGGGGGGTGTCTTTTTAGTGACATAGCAAGTGAGCTTACAAGGGCAGATGGTTTTGTAATTTAGCCTTGAAAAGACAGTGTCTTATGAATCATATGAGAACAGTGTCATAAGCTTTGTTTACTGGACATAGTTGTCAATTTTTTTTTAATAGCAGCATAACCTTTATTTGGTGTAGGTGAAGAGTTCTCAAAGTTTTGAACACTAAATTTTATTCAAGTGATAATTTATTTTCTAAGCAGTTATGTGCTTTAAAAATACACATTAGGAACCCTGCAATTGGGTATATTCTATTTATTAGAAATATTTTTCATGGTAATACATGGTGGGGTTTTTTTGTACCAAGGATCGAACTCAGGTCCTTGTGCTTGCAAAGCAGGTGGGGAAACCACGGAGCTAAATCCCCGGCTCATGGTAATACGTTATGTAACTTTCTATACATAGTTGTCAATTTTATCTGTACCAGAACAAGGAGTTACAGCTGGGGCAGGGGTGGCGAGGTGAGGTGCGTGTTATCTGAGGTAGGGGAACTGCCCAAGGCTGGGAAGAACTTGTGGTTCTTTAAGTCCTGCTTCACTAGCACTGGATGGAAAGTCAGTGTATTAGTGCTTACTAGAGCTTGCAGGGCTAGGGGAAGGTTCCTCAAAAGACTGCGCATGCTCTGAATCAGATTTAATGCAGTACACAGAAATTTATAAGATTAGCCTATAATGGCTGCCCACAGAGTCAAATGTAGAAGAATGCAACAGATCTGTCCCTATGCTAGAGATCTGAACGATCCAGCCAAAAGCCTGGAGCCCACAGAAATGTCCCATCCAAGTTCGCATCAGGAGGCCAAAGGATCTGTGACGGAAGACCGAGGGGTCAGCGCTAGAAGCAGAAGTGTGCTGTTAGGCCAAAAGGCCAGGGCTGGCAGCTAAAGAATCCGTCTGAAAAGCCAGGAGCTGATGCCCAAGGTGAAGGGGAAGACCGGAGCTCCTCCAAAGAGAAGACCCAAAGCTCCATTGAGGAAAATCAGCTGTAACAAAGCTCTTCCAAGAAAAATTAGCTGAAATCCTTTCCTTCTGATCTCCTTTTTATCCTCCTTAAAATGGGTCTTCCATGCCCAGAACTATGCTGACTCAATTCAGCTGTATGTTCCCCACTCAAATTGACAATTAATCAATTAACCTCCACAGTCAGATGTAGGCCTGTATCCTCCCTACCTTGGTTTCCAAACCCTTCCTTCCTTCCTTCATTTCATTTCACTTCATTTCTTTTTGTGGTACTGGAAAACTGAACATCTAGGGCCTTTCCACTCAGCTATACCCTCTGTCTTTTTATTTTTAATCTGGAGACAGGGTCTCACTAAATTGCTAAATTGCTCAGGATAGACTCAAATTTGTGATTGTCTTGCATGAGGCTCCCAGAGTGCTGGCATTATAGGTGTGTATCATGCCCAGCCAAATTCTTTCTTACCCTTTGATAACACAGGTATACCTGGCCTTATGTACCCTGTTTATCCTGTAATGTCAAATAATATACCATGCCAAGTTACTGCAGATGATGGACATTTCACTGGTCACATGGCAAGAGGAATTAAATGACTGTTTATTCATTTACATGGTTAGTAACATAAAGTAAAGATGTCACTTGAAACTCAGCTGGCTAGAAATATAGTGCATAGGGCCAGGGATTTAGCTCAGTGGTTCTTCGGCCTGCCTTGCAAGCACAAGGTCCCGAGTTCAATCCCTGGTACAAAAAAAAAAAGAAGAAAGAAAGAAATATAGTGCATAATGTTAAGACTGCATTCACAGACAGTAGAAATGGCTGATCACTCCATGAGTCCAACATTACTTTGGCTCTTGAGCAAAGATCCTATTTACTCAAGTGTCTAGAATGTTTTCAGAATTATCTGCTACCTCTGTACAGGCACTGAAAGGGCCAACAAAACACGCACTTAAAAACACAAATAATGAGTTTCAGGACATTATGATCATTACAGTGGCATTTTACACATTTCAAGAGTTGAGGAAAGAGTAAAGTGTGAACTAGAAACCCTTTATTGAAACCAGCTGCTGGACTTTCTACCCTACACCCATCTGTTCTGAGGAAGGAGGGGCTATGTGGAGTGAAGGGAACTCACACTAAAATTAACTTTCTTTTTTCTCTATTCTTCCCATCCATATCACCATCTGACATCCTACAGTATAAGAGGCTAGTACCAGGCTTAGAGGATGGCGCTTCAAACTGCAGTTCTTCATGTCCAAAGGAAATCCTAGCACAGATCTTTTGAGACAGATGCTTAAAATAGTCTCCCTTCCTCTTGTAATCTGTCTTTGACAGGAAAACAAGGAGGCAGAAGATATTTGCAAAGGACAAAAAGTTAAATGCATCCAAATCTTATCAGAAAAATTACCCATAAAAATGTTTGACTCTTCAAAGCACACTCAGTACAACGAAACCAGAATCATTTAAGAAACAACTCTGACATTTTATGGAAAAAGAGAAGCCAAAAAATCATAAAAACATTCAATCCTCTTGAATATGTTTAACAATTTACTAGTAGTTATGAGCAACTATGAAGGACAATAATTATCACTTAAATGCAGGTTTTTGCACTTAGCATTTTATTTATTTATTTTTGGTACCGGGGATTGAACTCTGGACCTTGAGCTTTCAAGGCAGGTGCTGGAACCACTGAGCTAAATCTCCGGCCTGCACTTAGCATTTTAAAGTAGAGAGCTGGTAATTTCGATCTGGGAAGGAAGTAGGGGAGATCTGTCGAGTTCCTTACTGCATTGAAACAACATATTACATATCACTTCATCTCACCCATGACATCCTGTGGACACCTAGGTTTCTCCCAAATTCATATGCCTGGAAACAGCATGAGCTAGGTGGCTTATGAAGAAAACTTGAGACTTTTTCTTTGGAAACTGCCACACCTGAGCATCAGAAGAGGTTGCTCCAGGAATGTCTCTGATGGGACAGTCTCTCATTTTATGGACAGGTAGGGTGAAAACACTGGTTAAAATATGAAAGGACTCATCTAGCACAGGACCCAGATGCCTTGAATTTTCATGGATCAGAAGAGTCGGGAGAAGAATCTGAGTCTTCTGGGTGTGGAGTGTAAGTCCGCCAGCCAGTGAGTGGCGTTGCTAAGGTCCCCAGAGTCCCTGGGCTTGTCACTAAGGGCAGAATCCCTCACTTCCCTGTGTCCTGCTGTACCCCATCACTCAGCACAGTGCCTGGGTACAGGCGGCCAGCAATAACACTCATGACTGGTGTGTGGGGTAAGACGGGCTGCATTCCAAAGAATGGGACCTGAGAGCATGGCCCACGGTGCGGTGGTGGCCTCTCCATCAGGATGGTCGGGTCCTTTCCAGGAAGGACGCACTGGGAGAAAGGCCAGGCACCGGCTGAGGTGCAGAGAATACAACTGCGTGTGTCACTGAGGTTCTGTCGTCAGATGTCAGAGGGCTGGGCTCACGTCCGTGGGAAAGGCAGCCAGCACTTATACTTGAGGTAGTGACGAGCCCTCCGAAGGAAAGACAGCTGGGCGACCTGACAGTGGGGCGATGGTGGCGGCAGGGGACTCCTCTGAGGCTCCAGTGAATGATTCCGCCTCCTCCGGAGTAGTTACAAGCCGGGAAGGAACAAGAAGTAAGGTCGGGCGGCGACTCGTAGTAGAGAGGTCTCCCACGCCACCCTCGCTGTCCCGGGGCCCACTGCTCAGCTGCGACGTCAGCTCCACTTGGAGAGACCTGCTTTGGAAGCCCCAGCTTTAAGCCGCCTCAGTCAGACTCAAACTGAGGATGAGGCTGAGGCTGACACTGAGGTGCCCCGGGGGCGGAGCCTCGCGAGCCCCAAACAAGTCCACGTGGCGGGGGCGGGGATTCGCGTGACGTCACGCGCGTGCGCACTCGCCGTACCCTTGCCGGCCGTAAAGCGCGGAAGGTCGCCGTGCTCGGGAACTTTTCTTTCCTCCTTGCTCCTCCTTCCCATGTCCTGTGAACCCTTTTCCGGTCCGCCACGACCCCCGGCGACGGTGGTGTGTGCCTCGCTCCCGCCAGGGCGCCTCTGAGCGCGGAGTGTGCGTCGCTCTCGCCAGGGTGTCTCAGTGCGGAGTCCGCGCCCGGGGAGGTAAGGAGCGAGCTGCGGGCCGTGTGGCCTCCGTGTCCGCGCGGCCTCGGCGTCCCGGATCTTGGGCGTCCCCGCCTTGCGCTCCCCTCTGTCCTCGGGGTCCCCGGTGTCCCTTGACCGTGTCGGTTCCGCCGCCTCCTCTCGGGCAGGGGCGTCCTGGCGCTAGGACTCGGTCCCGCGAGCTGTCAGGCCTCGGGGACCCGCGCCTGCCCACCGGCTGTGCCCCGGGAACCTCGCTGCTGGCCGGCTCCTGGGCCCTCAGACCCTGCAGGGGGAGTTGTTTTCCCGCCTGGGAACGTGCGGTGCACCGCGCTCTGCGGACTCTTAGACTGCGGCAGAGTCCAGGGGAAGAAGCCACCAGCAAGGCCTGGGCCGGGGGAGCGGGCTTTCTTCTTAATGTGTGACACTTTGGGACTGTTGTGCTTGCTACTTGGGTTCGGGTCAGCAGT